AGTCATTTTTATTATCCATGATTTTCTCTTCTTCCTTTCATATATGTATATATGTTGATACATATATGTGTATGTGTGTGTACATATATGTATATTCATGGTTATATGTGGGTATATATAAGATGTTTAAAATACAAAATTATATATAGCTAGTAATAAGCATAATTATATATATATATATATATTTATATATATATATATATATATATATATATATATATATATGTGTGTGTGTGTGCGTCTTTATGTTAATATATTTCACACCACTTATGATTGCTTCTAAAACACTGAAATTTCTTTCTTTCTTAATTTTTTTTTTGTTTTGTCTGGATATTTTGAATTATTGTTTGTAAATTTATACTATTTATATCTTCGGTCTAATGAAACTAACTGGTCCAAATAAATCATGATCTATTACCGTATTTTTCGTGATGTGCTTTTCCTTGAGATTATACATACGCATACATATATACATATATATATATATATATATATATATATATATATATATATATATATATTTGTGTGTGTATGAGGTATATAATAAAAATAAACATGCTTTTTATCGGTTTTACTCAACAAATGTGTATTAAATAGGGATTATTGCTTAAATACAGAATTTATACACAAATATCAAGAGAGAAAAAAAAAACAATGCGCTATCACTAACTACAAATTACGCGCTTCCTATATGAAGAATAGAAGCCAAAAGCTTCATATATAAAATAAACTGAGAGCTCAATGCCAAAGTCGACTGAGACTAAATATAATATAATATTATCAATACCAAAATCTCAATCTAAACAACAATCAGCAGGCGGAAAGGTTCCGCCTTGCGATTGTTGTTACATGAAACTCTGAGTAGTGAATTTTGGTATTAATAATATATTATATTATAAATAGGAAACTAACCTATTCATATTTGATCATAAATAAAATAGTTTATGAATACGTAATTAGATTCTAATATAATAATTTTAACATTACCATATATGTAGTCAGTAAATAAATTAAATATATCTTGAGTCGGTACAAATGAAGATATAAATATTAAAATGTGACTAAATATTATTTGAACCCCCCTTTTGAAAAAATCATAAGTGAAATTTATAAAAATCAAAATTAAGAAAATTAATAATGAAAACGCCAAATGTATTGATATTGAAACCCAGACGATATGTTGGAACATAGACACCACCACAAATGTCTACTTGAAAAAAGGAAGTTTGTATCAATAGACAGACACCCCAGACCCCACCTTGACTTGACCGACTTGATAGTTACAATACATTAGATACAGGAGTTTTCTAACTGTTAAATCTTAACACACCTAAAATTAAAAAAAAAAAAAAGATGGAATTTTCCTTAACATCTGAAAATATAAAAATTTGTCTGGACTTATAAATTAACTAAATGAATTTCTAAAAATTATTTTTAGCATTGCCTGATAATGGAACAGAACTTTTTATTTTAAGTTTAATTTATATGATTGAATTTAAATTGAAGTTTCACTTTTGAAACATGGGAATTTTGGTGTTGCAATAATTATATAACTTAAAAAAAAAAACAAATATAATATTATGCTCTACTGATGTATCAAGCCATTTTTTTAAAATAAAAATAAATGCTAAGAACTATGAATTGTAAATCTCATTGTTCTTTCTTTGATATATATATATATATATATATATATATATATATATATATATATATATATATTATATTTTTTTTTGCAGGTAAAGATTTTTATTATAGCAATAAAAAGGTTAGACTTATTTTATTTGTCATGATTAAAAAAAAGGTAAGCGTAAAATAAAACAAATACAGCCGACCGGTTTCAACTTCAATCAACAGAGTTAGATCGAGGGATTATATATTGCAATAAAATAAAACATAAAAACGCTATGTAATATTAATGAAGACGAAATACAATTTAAATTAAAGTCTAAACAGACACTCCCTCAGTTTTCAGAGGGTGGGTTGTCTGGGCCGGACTTAAATTGTTTCCAACACCTTTATCTACAATATAGAGCGAGCACGATTCAAGACGGTAAACGAGTCAATGCTAAAGTTAGTGGCACAATTTGTGTTTTAATAAGATGCTCAATTTACAAATTATATTCATTCAAGACAGCCCGCCCTCTGTAAACTGAGGCAGTGTCTGTTAAGACTTAACGTGATTTCAGTTTAAATTGTATTCCGCCTTCATTAATATTACATAATGTTTTGTCTTATTTTATTGCAATATATAATCCCGCGATCCAACTCTGTTGATTGAGGGCGAAACCGGACTGCTGTCTTTGCTTTATTTTTCGCTTTTCTTTTTAATCATGAAAAGCAAAATAAGTCTAACTTATTGATCTCTATATATATATATATCTATCTCATATATATATATATATATATATATATATATATATATCCATATTTATATACGAAATATATATATAAGTGTATTTCAACTTGTTTTACCTCCCAAAAATGGTAACATGTTTAGAAAAACAAATATTTTGTGTCGTTATTTATCATGTCAAGCCACAATTTTTAAATTGAGGGCAATACCACAGTTGCATAAATCGACCTTCCCTACACCTCATTACGTTGCTCATACCTTGGACTATCTTTGGTTTAAGACCATTCATTGACTTCTTACTTTCATTAGTCCTTTCTTCTTGCCTTCTATTACCATTTCTCTGTGCATGCCATCCGCGTATCTTATGTTGTAAAGATTATGTTCATCAATTATAAATACTGACAAGTACTTTAATACTCTTTGGGACGTTTAGCTTGATTTAATCTAGTAAGGAAACATCCTCTTGTCTTTTTATATTTGTGTATATTCATAGAACTCGTTCTCTCCCTGTATGCAGGCAATTTATTCCCAGTATTACATACGGATTATCTTTCGCATGTAAATCAAACTCTCCTAGTGTTGTACGTTGATCTTTCGTAATGCACGGTTGTTAGCAAACGGAACAGTCGAACATGCTAATTACCAATATCAAACCAGTACAAACATTTAAATGTCTGGGAAGTGTTTTTAAAGCAATGATAGTGAGACACTGAAATCCGAAGGTGCATTTGGGATAGCGAAATATGACTTCCAACAGCTAAGCAAAGTAACAAAAAACAGAAAATTTCGTTAAAAACAAAGAAAACTAAACTGTAACCCCTTCCGGATGTCTCAGCATCAGTAATCTTCAAGGGCACATGGCTCAGTGGATAAAAACGTTAGCTGAATCCGGTGACTTGACTCAAAGAGTTGCCAACAACTGAGATGAACAAAAAAATCTGGAGAGATGAGGGAGATAAATGATATTGATACATCCGGAGGAGTCATGGCACGTGCAACTAGAACGATCTACCCCGATAGAAGAAATAAAGGTTTCAGTTCGAAACTCCAAACTACTGAAGACGGCCGGAGCTTAAAACGGCCGAAACGTAATGAATATGGCAACGAAGATGAGGACAACAGTCCGAAAAATGTTAATAGTATAAATAATTATAATACCTCAACTCAGAAATATAGACAGGTCTTGAAGAAGACCGGAGCGCACAACGGTCGAAACGTCAGGAATATGGTAACGAAGATGAGGACAACAGTCCGAACAATGTAAATGGTGTAAATAATTATAATACCTCATCTCAGAAATATAGACAGGTCTTGTAGAAGACCGGAGCGTACAACGGTCGAAACGTCGGGAATATGGCAACGAAGATGATGACAACGGTCCGAACTATGTAAATGGTGTAAATAATTATAATACCTCATCTCAGATATATAGACAGATATCAGATCGTGTGCTCTCGTAATGCGAAACGAACGCACTGTTCAGGCCGTTATGAATTCAGACTACACATCGCGATACAGCATGTGGCTTCCTCTATATAAAGTTGTATTGTATTCTAGATATTTTTTTTTATAAAAAGCAAAACCTGGAACAGATATTCGAGGACATTTCAAAATTTCTGCCCTAGATTTTAATACGTAACTCTGTGTTCTGCCCCGAGTAAAATCTTTTTTTTTTCCCCAGCTATACACTCTTCTCTTTCTCTGACTGAATACCTATCAACCACCGTCTTCTTCTAATACTGTCACTAATACAACTACTACAATTACTCTCCCCCGACTCCTCCTCCTCCCATTCCTCCGCCTCCCCAGTTTCGTTACAGCCATATTTTTCTGTACTCTGCTTCTTATACGCAGTCTATCTTTGGAAAGGTACTGCGGCGTCTGGCCAGAGTACAAAAATCAATAACGCGCTTCAGACAAACTGTTCGCTTGCACAGAGACGAGTGTTCAGTCGTCACTATTGTACGTAAAAAAAAAAAAGAAAGACGATAAGTGTACTGTGGTATACACTACGCCACACTAAGATCTTCACAAACGATTTTCTTGTTTCTTTTCCCAATGCTAATAATGTTATAAAAGTACTTGGAATCTCTTTCACTGAATGATGCTTGTCAGTTTGATAAGACTAAATTGGCATTCACGAATCGAATCATACAGATATTAGCTGCATTGATCATAAATTACAACTATCGAACCATAAGAAAGAACTTTAATAAGCAACACGATTAACCTATTACTGCCAATTTGCCAAAAGTAGACATTAATGGGTTGTCGATAAAAATTTAATTTAATATTTAAAATATATAATAGCGGGTGAACGTTTATAACTGGATTTTTTTTTTGAAATCAATACAGGTTTTTAATTTTATTTCTTGATTGATTGATTTTTTACGGCTTATCAACCTTTTTAAGATTATTCAAAGCCAAAAAATATTTTTAGATTGTAAGATTTTTTTTAGATAATACTGATTTACTGAAATAGATTCTACTAATTAACCCATAGCTGGGGCGAGAAGAGGTGGACTCATACACTTCCCAAATGTATTTGCGCTTATGTGAACATAAAGAACCCGACTGGAATTGAAACTCGCATTTCGATTTCACTCTCCGAGACGCTATCAATTAGACTACCTGCACATCCAAGCGTAGCACTTGGTATTCCTTAAGCGGTCACCCATCAAGATACTGACCAAGCTCAACGTTGCTTAACTTCGGTGATCGTACGAGAACCGGCGTTTTAACATGATATGGCCCTAATCCCGATTTAAACTTTATAATATCAAATTTGACGTTAGATAGCTAAAAACAAACAAAGGTGTGCTCAATGGCTATATATGACAGTGAATGCTAGACAATTTCCGTAGAGATGAGGAAGAGACTCGACATGGTTCTACAGAGAAATGTTGAGAATACCATATACTGAACACGTGAGAAACGAGGAAGTTCTAAAGAAACCAGAAACTAGAAAGGCGGTCATACTTAAAATCCAACCAAAAACAGGAAGAGATTATGAGGAAGGAAAGCTCGGAAAAATGAATACCCACAGGATGTATAGCTGGATTAAAAGAAACAGTAAACAATGAAAAGTAGATATGTGCCACACGTTAATTACAACTACAAGAACAAGGAAGCCATGAAGTAATGGGATAAACGTTTCGGTTTTTCATACGGTGTTTTACGTGCATTATTTACAATATTCGGACTGTTATACTCATCCTCATTGATATATTCACGACGTTTCGGCTGTTGTACGCTCCGGCCTTCTTCAGGAAAATGATTTTTGATCCGAACCCTTTATTTCCCCCACTATTTACATTGTTCGGACTGTTACCCTCATCTTCGTTGTCATATTCCCGACGTTTCGGCCGATGTACGGACCGGCCTTCTTCAGGTAAATGATTTTTGAGTCGAACCCTTTATTTCGTCCACCACTGTTCTAATTCCACGTGCCATGCCTCTTCCTGGTGTCTCCGTTATTTCCCTTTAACTCAACTCTCCAAGTTTTGGTGCACCACTGCCGAGGCCTGGTACTGAAATCACAATTCTCTGCGTCTAGTCACTGGATCGAACCAACGTCTTTATTCACTGGACCATGTTCCCTTGAGGATAACTGATATTTTGACATCAGGAAGGTGTTACAGTTCAGTACTCTTTTCTTTGTTTCTAACAAAATTATTTGTGTCTCTTGATACTTTGCTTGTATGAATCTTTGGGACTTATAAAACTAATGTCTCAGCAAACCAGTGCAATTTTTGTTGTTATCCATTGCTTTTCTGTAGCACTCTTTATTACTCGTTCCCATATTCATTCTTATGCTTGAAAGATGGATAGCGGCTCGGATTGAGAAATCAAAGAGCCGGGTTCGAATTACAGTAGAGTTAGTTATATTCACTTACGTGCAAATACCCGTTGGGTAGGTATAAATCTATATCTTACCTCCACAGCCTTGATTAAATACCTGGAAAGAATGGGTCCTATAGCCTTGGGTGGACAACTATGAATTCCAAGGAAGGACAAATGTGAATTCAAAACCCAATTAGTCAATGGTGCTGCGGCTAGGCCGACTCCCCTACCAGAAGAGGATAATGGAAACACCGACTGTATAAAAAAATGAGGTGTTAAAGGACAGATGTATTCCACAGGGTTAACGGTCATTCACCATACTTTATCGTCCTCGATAAGACGTTAAACTAGATCCGCGTCCTGGGTAAGACGATAAACTACGTCCAGCAGCAAGGCCTCTGGTCAGGAGGTTTTAAGGAATGTGGAACTACCACTTAATTACTGGTGTTCTCATGTCCACTCTGACCCGGGGTGGTAGGACCTGTTAGGGTCCCAACTATGAGCAAATAGTTCACTATTACCAGCAATACTTTTTGAAAAAAATTATTAACAGCAGTACAATTTTGAAGAAAAAATATTACCAGAAACAGATTTTTGACAAAACAAAATATTACCAGCAATAAAAAATGTTGTCGGCATTAAATAACCCATTGAGGTTGATATGCCGTAAAACAAATGAAACCAAACCAATTTAAACCAAAGAATACATATTGTATTCATACGAATCTATCCTAAAAATGTTGTCGGCATTAAATAACCCACTGAGTTTGATATGTCGTAAAACAAAATAAACCAAACCAAACCACCATACGTTAATTGGCCAAGCGTGTTGAGTACAGCTACACTCCTGAATTGGTCAATCAGGAAGGGTTTCCTCCAACAGAAATAACTAGGCCCTGAATTTGACAGTGAAAACAGGTTAAGCATCTATGCACTTACTAAAGCGCAGAACGGTTGGCCTTCCTTTGTTAAATAATAAAGACTTGCCTTCCACAATCAATTATCTACCGTATTCATTGTTAACGCGGTGGGAAAACTTCAAAAGATATAACACTGACTCTTGTCTAATTAATTTAATTATATATCTCATTGACATACGCATTTCATATTGTTTGAGCCATGAAACCCTCACCCGATTGACCGATTTCTTCTTAATAACATCTTCATTGAATTAATGAAATACGTGTAAATATCTGAATTCTGAAGAAATTGTAATATTTACTGAAACATTCCATGTTCACTTTTCACCTTTTATCTATTTTAGATCTGACGATTGTTTCTCATTTCATCTTCCTCAGACTAAAATACGAATTGATTTGTACCATGTAATTGTAATCAAGCTATAAGGATCTATTTATATGTGTATTAGGGGATTTAGACGGTAACAACGGATTTGTAGAAAAGTGGTAAAAATATAATCGCAGTAAAATTGAAATTTGGCAAGAACATAATCTTTCAAATCATCAATGACAAAATGATGAAACTAATACTTTGTTGAAAGTATCTGAGATTATGGTGAATTGATCACTTTTCTACTTTTTCGAAGGATTTTACTACTGCTATAATGGTATCATTTGAACGTGTTAAATCCAGTGAATGAAAATACTGATCTATAATATTGCAACCTTTTGATTTTCATTTAAGCTTATTTTTCTGGAGATTTGCATTGTTATTCTGATGAACATTCAGATTTTTCATGAAACTATTTTGACCCTTTATTTTCAATTTATTCTTGTGATTGTCTTGTCTTATTTTAACATCTCGTGATTCAAAAAACCTATCAGTTTCCACAGATTACGAGCCAAGAGTTTTTCTATTCCTATGAATGTTTCGGTTGAAAAGGTGATAGACTGGTGTTGTAAATTACAAGTTAAGTCAGTGGAAAAAAAACTTTTCTGAATTAGAGCGGGTTCAAATGGAATCAGCGTTACTATATAATACTTTCCAAAAGCCATATTTTTTTGTCGCTATATATAGAATCATTTGAGTGAATTAAACATTTGATACATCTATCTAAAGAAATTCTACCCAGTATATCACGTGATACACACACACTTCATATATATATATATATATATATATATATATATATATATATATCAAACTGACCACGGGAATTCAGAGAAGCATAGATCCATCCAGCTCTTATCTCAAATAACAACTTAAAAGAGACTGTTTGACCAACACAAGTAATGTTAAAAATTCATGTTAAAAAAGATAAAAAAAAACAAACAAAAAACAAATGAAACTACAGACAAAAGTTCATTTTTCCATCAAGACATTCATTTCTGTGATTTACTGCCACCAGCAAGCAGAAATATTTCTTCTCCCGATGATGGCCATTTTGGCCAAAACTAGTCGAGGAATCTAAATAAAATAATAATAAAAAAAACGAAAGAATATCAATCTACAACCAGTGTGTCTGAAGATTTTAATTTTTTAAATATTTTTTATTGTTCAATATATATATATATATATATATATATATATATATTATGAAATGGACAAAAGTCCGATAATTTTTTAAAGATATTAAGTTTATACATTCTTTTTTATAGCGATTTTCCAAGCGTAGCTCAGATGTGGCACAAAGCCGAAAGTATGGGGCACCCAGTGAGGATCGAACTCACTACTCATTCGTAATTGTTTTAACGAGACAAGCTTGCTTAATCATTACACCACCTCGGGGGTGACTGTAATGATTTTCTAAGCATAGCTTAGATGTGGCACAAGGCCGTAAATATGGGGTACCCAGTGAGAATCGAAATCACTATTCAGTCGTAATTGATATAGCGAGACAAACTTGCTAAGCATTATACAGCCTCGAGGTGCCCTAAACATTGTTTTATGGATACAAATATTGAATTAAATTCTCTGTTCATAATAAACAGTATTAGCAACATTTACCGGCCTGAATGTTTGAGAAATTGTCATAAAAAAATATACGTCCTCCGACAGGAATCGAACCTGTATCCTATACGGAACCGTCATATAGCCTGACGTGCTTTTATCCATTTCGCCACAGAGGAGCGTTTCGTCTAGCAAGGTCGATTTTACTGTTTTTAAACTACAATTCTCCATGATTTTCTCACGTACATTCATATCTGCTCGATGCGTATCCAAATGTAAACAATTGACGTCACACATTATGAAATGGACAACGTTCGACAATTACTTCAAGATATGTTTATGTTTATCTATAAAAAAGAATTAAAAAACTAGAATTTAAATCTTAACAAATTAACAACATTCAAGAAAAAGAAAAACAATATTTTGTTTAACACCCCTTTTAATTTAGAGGTAAAATGTAAAATAGTTGAATTATTTTTCATGTTGCTTACTAAACAGTTCCGAAAGAATTCAGAATTACATAAGATATTCAATAAAAACACAGTTAAATTAAGCTGTAGCTGCACTAGTAATTTAGAAAAAATATTAAATTGACAAAATGCCAGAAATCTCAAATCTAACGTGCAGCGAAATAACAAATTTAAGCAAATGCAGAAATAAAAATAGATGTCCATTAAATGGAGCTTGTAAAAACAGCTATAATTTATAAAGCAGAATTAACAGATATTAATGGCCAAAATAAAACGGTAGGTACTTTTAAACGTAGATGGTAAAATCATAGGTCGTCTTTTAAGCTACCAAATCTTAGGTACTCTACCAAACTAGCTAACCATGTGTGGAATTTAAAAGAAATTTTACACACAACGTCGTGCGTTTGTATGTTTATTTATTTTTGAAAATAATAATGAACCGTTCTTTAGGTTTAAAAATAAACTCAAAAAGCATTAGGTGGTCATTTGACAAAAAAATCGCCTGAGGTTACCGTAAAGTTGAAATCATGGTAGCAGATTCAAATGACCTCCTGATTATATATATATATATATATATATATATATATAAAA